CTTCTGTTTGTGTTTGAAGCGAGATCCCAAACAAACCAAAGGAAGCTCGCCCCTCCCTCCCTGTTTGTGCATCATGAAAAACTCACACACTAAATCCCTACAATATGATATTCACTTATATTTTTTAAATAATTATATTTTCATACACAGTTCACATATAAAAAAGTCAGCTCTAGAATCTACTCACCTGTCATTGCGACATGCCGTGTTTTAGTCGGTGACGGGTGTACACATTTGGGCCCTGTCCCAATATCCGCATTCGTGCCCTTTGTGCCCCTCAATGTGCGTTCTCGCTAAGGGGTGCAAGACCGTAGGGTGTCCCGATCCTCTAATAGTGTTATCCAGGGGTGATCATAAGGGCACTTAATGCACCCCTTTCGCAAGTGCACATCAGACCTCGGCCCTGTCCCAATATCCGCACTTGCGCTATTGCCCCTCAATGCGTGTTCTCGCTAAGGGGTGCAAGAGCGTAGGGTGTCCCGATCCTCTAATAGAGTTCTCCATAATAAGGGCACTTAATGCACCCATTTCGCAAGTGCGCATCAGTCCTCACTTTGCTATGGGATATTACCCAGAATCCTTGTAGTGTTGTGATGTTTCAAACAGCTAACCAATACGCCTTATTCACGGCAGCGCCATCTTTGATTTTTAATGAGAATGAAAGCGAGGCTGTGAGGGATAGACATGCATGTCTTCAATGGGCTGTACTGTTATTTAATGTGTTTTCGGATTGTTCTGCTCATGAAACACTGGAAAAATATCTTTCCAAGAAATGTCAGTTGACAAAAAACTCCCGACAACGTAAGATGTGGAAAATTGTAAGTAATCTAGGAGCTTTATTCAGCTTTTTTACAGCGGATGCCACTGGAAACACGGTAAGTCTATCCCTCACAGCCTCACTTTCATACCTGTCATGGCGCTGCTCTGAGAACGGTTGCTATATGGTGCTGTTCTGAAGATAAAGGAAGCCAATGTATTGAAATGTTTTTCAAGGCCGTGAAATTTAAAAATATTCGTGTTATTGTGTCACGAAATGTAGTTTTGAGAGTTTTAGTTTTGAGAATATAATTATTTAAAGCTTTTTTTCATTCGAGAATATAATTGTTTAAAGCGGAATGAAGTTTTTCTATATTTAGACTATTTAAATGTAACGTTGTAACGTTAGTCTGTTGATTTATGTTTGACTGAATCTTTTAACTTGCTTTATTTCTTGACTTCCACACACACTTGGGTTTGTGCAATTATGTCAGTGTTCTTGAGTGATTATGGATTTCATTTTGAACCGATGTCGGTGAGCAGGCTGAGATACACTTCTTGACACTCACAAGGAGGATGAGTGTCACCAGTCTCTTCTCATAATTGATTGGAGGTTAAAAATAGCTTTGGCTAGCCATCATTGGGCTGATTTACAGCCTTCATTTACAAGGCTAACACACTCGAAGGGGGTTCTTTGAGCACTCTGCATGGTGTTTCCAAACACTTATCATGTGTAGCCATGGAGGTCCTTCCGCATATACAGCACTCCATCTTGAATCAGTAATCAACATTTGTTGATTGCTTACATTACTGCAAGGTGCTTGAATGTGAGAGAGCAATGTGTGTGACCTTACTAGGTCATTTTATGTCAGGCATTTATCTTATGGTTCTCCTATAAATATGTATAAATGGGATTCACTGAAAACATAGTAGAATATATGCATACAGGTGAGTGTTCAAACTTCAAACACTTTTATATCCGAGTTTTTATCATTTACTTTTCTGAAAATGTACAAAATGTACATAAAGTATATTGTATTTTTTTCTGTTGTGCGGCACTCAGACTTTCGATATTATGATAAATCATAAAAATAATAATTACATTTTAAAAACATAAAACTACATATTTCATTACTGAACAAATAGTAAAATAAACTGTATGAACTGTCCCATGAATAGACATTTTCACAATAAACAATTTAGTCCATAAAAAGTGTGTTCAGTTTCACAGGTGCATGCTTGATATTATTAAATATAATGCATCCAATGTGTGAAAATATTTGCTTGTGTGCATATTTATTAATCTTAAAAATGATAAATAAGTTACACCTAAATGTATTTAGTTAGTTAAACAATGGCAAATAAACAATGACATAAGATCATTTTTAAAATGGCTTACATTTGGTTTAAAGTTGTAAGTCATTTTGGAATGACCACAACACCTTCAGCCTTAACTAAACCTTTAAGGAAACTTTCAGCTTCACTGGCAATTCATCTCAAATAAATAAGGATAGCGGCCTGAATTGGCCCATGTTAATCTAACTCTCTCGCTAACCTTCTTGTCTTACATAAATTCTGGGCAAAAGGCCTCAGAATGATTCATACACAGAGACTTTACAGGGGGACTGTGTCATTTGAGGGCTGACTTGGCTCGACGAGGAACAGTGCAGGACCGATATTCACTGGGTGCAATGTGACCTGTCACAGCGGATTCAGCTTCAAACAAGATAACCTCACAATGGGTTCAAATGCAAATACGGCCACATATAAGATCAAGGTTCTAAGCTAATATTTGTATTTTTAATGTTTTTGAAAAGTATCATATGCTCAACAAGGCTGCATTTATTTGTTCAAAATAGAAACAAAAATGCTGTACTATATTTCAATTTGATTTCATTGTGATTTTGCACTGTTTCATACTTTTAGACTGTCAATTGGATAAATTCCAAACTAATTTTGACAGATTGATTTAACTAAACTAAAGGTCAAGTGACAGAAAAGAGATTTACACATGGAGTATATTCATGCTTTGTCTTTAATCACTTCATAGAAAAGTAGCTTCAGATTTTATTGAACACAATATACAATATTATTACCATACATTGTGTGAAACATTGAATATTCACCTGCAACAATGTGGGATAACCAGACGATAAAAACTCATCCCTCATGCAGATAGCACTAATTCTGTTGAATCCCTTTGGACGCAAGCCGGACCAAAAGATCTCAAACATATAGATTAACAAAGTTTTACTGACAATTTGAATTTCAAAACTGCTAACAAGGTCAGAAAAATAGTTCACATTAGCACAAATAATTACAGAAGATCACATTTTCGTAATTATATCGATTTCACATTGTGATGTTGGTAACCAATTCCTCTCCAGTAAATGTGATTACACATGCCAACTCTGAGCCATTTTTAGCAATCTCCATTCAAAATGTTGTATATATTTGAGGGCCACGTCTTGTGGAGAATCTCGTGAGATACTGATTTATCAATGTTACACCAAACAGTGATACACAAAGCTTCTAATATATCTGACGGATGTCTACAGTTTGTATTTATGTCTTATCTACAGACTCTCCCCTTTACCAATGGGTTGTGTGTCTCATAGGCTACTGTTCTGGGCAGTTGTGCAATATATTCATACATAGTATATATAATATATATTTATTTATATTAAAACATAAACAATATTACTAAATAAAACAGACTCAGTCCAAGAGCCCACTACACAAGAAACACCACCAATTTTCGGTAATGCAAGTGCATATAAATTAAACCATTTACAAAGAAACAATATTCCCTATGTACATTTAACAGTAATAAATACACTGTTATAAACAGTAGAGGACCGATCTGAGCGCATATAAACAAAGAGAATGGAAGGAGTTGTAAAAAGCGTGGGCTGGTGATGAAGCGCCCCCCACGGACGCTCATTCACACAAACACAGTAATGTGTAGACACGTACATATGTGCGCACAAACATACTTTTGCATGCTACTTTGGCCATTAACTGTTTCCACTGTTGAGACTTTGAGCATAAGGTAGTTAAAGTACCTTAAAGCATGAACTACACACAAACTTAAACCTTAACGGTGACAAAATGTATGAAACGACAATGCTAATGTCATTACTAAACTGGCATGTTGAAATCTGACAAGTGTAATTGTATTTTTTTTTTCTTTTCATATCTTGTGTTTTTTTTTTTTACCCACCTTTAAAGTGAGCCAATCGGAGAAAGTTTTGTTAAGAAGACAAATGAGGAAAAGTTCTCTATCAAACTGTGTAAAAAGCTACAAAAGCTAGTTTAGACTGTTTTTATCGATTCTGTTTCTAAGGATGATGGGAAGGGTGGAAATGGCTGCTGTAAGGAAGACAATTATGATGAATTGAAAGCAAATGAATGAGAATTAAGTCAATAGCTTTGGCTTCCCTATGATTTTAGTACATTACGAGACCCCTTGTGATTAGATTTTTTTTGGAGGTGCTTGTATTTTGTTCTACAGTCTAAGTGAATGGGGTCTTCATACTTAAGGGCATTTAAAACATTTTGTGCAACAATGCATTTGCCTTTCCCTAATGTGAATGGGATGATGCATGGTTCCAAATAAACAGTTTGTGCTCATAGTTACGGAGTCTGACACAAATATAGATAGAATAAACAGAAAGTGCCGCTTTCATAATTTCTTAGTTTTCTGATCGTTTGTCAGATGTTTGGATTATTAAGGTATATTGCCAAACAAAGGAAGACACTAAGTTCTCTCTCCAGCGTAGATATAAAACAATTCTGCATGTTCGGTCTGGTTTGCTTTACAAAATGAAAACATTTCAACGTACAGTTATACTAAAATGTGTTCAATAAATAAAAGACTATTAAAAAGACAATAGTAAAAAGGCACACAGTCAGTCTTTAGACAAATGGTACAGAAAAGTAAACAGTTTCTCTCTTTACAAATACTTGTTCTTCAGTAGTTCGTCTGTGACCTCACCACACACCCATAGCTTTACAAAAAGTTTGTGTTGGTACAAAAAAAAAAAAGAGAAATCCTCTCAGTAGTGTCTAGTCCTCACAATCTGGTAAACAACCAAACAAACTGTTCACGTTGGCCCCAATCCTTCATGTTTATCAAAGTCGCCTGCCAATCGTTCAGGTCCAAAATGTCTGCAGCATTTATTTCCTGAGAGCTCCTACAAACTGTCTCCAAACGTAAGTGCAAGGAGGGCAAGACATCCTCCTCCCACGGGGGACTAAAAAATCACCCCATGTGGGCTTTTTAAAAAGCATCAACTGCAAGATTTCTCCTGCATGGGAAAAAATAGCTACCGCCTATCAAGGAATGCTAAGTCTTATGTGTCGACCGGTGACGCGTCTTCGGTAACTATCTGGATGAGTGTAGTGGATTCCATTTCTTCCCCTCTGTCGTCTTCTTCCTCGTCTCCCTGGCTCTGTTCGTCTTTTTCCGTGCCTTCTGAGTCTTCCTCCTCCAGCGTGAGCTCGAACTGGAACTTGTCAGGGCCCGAACCCCCGCTGTTGCCGTCTTTGTCAGCCTGATCGAAGGGCGGGGAAGGGCTTATGGGGACCATGCTCTGGTACCAGTTCCGATTATCCTCCAGGTTGTCCAGGATATCCTGGGCATCCGGATGGACCAAGTCAGCCCAGGTTTCCCATAGAGGGTGGACGATGAAGTCAATGAAACCCACCTGAAGAGAGAAAAAAAACCAAAACACATCAGATGTCGAAGGGCACTATGTAAGTTATTCTAGGATATCCTCTACATTTCAGACAGTAACTAACCTGTGATCTCTCCACAGAGGCGGTGTGTTTGTCACACATGGGGCTGATCTCCATGCCACGCTCCCTCTCTCGATCGCCCTGGTGAAAGAACTCGTCCATGATGCGGTCAGTCCACTGGCGGTACAGCTCTAGAGACTTGGTGGGATTGCTCAGATCGGCGCAGTGAACCATGTTCCGCAAAACCTGAAGTAACATCAAAATTTCAGCCAACTGTAATTCATCTGAATCATCTTTGCTATGATCATTGGATTTCCTAATGACTGTTAGAAAATTAGTTTCATTAAGAGGGGATGGAAAACAGGAAGACCTGTACCTGTATTCTGTCTGTGTAGTTGTCCAGAAGTAAAACTCCTGAGCTTGTCACTTTCTTCGTCTCTACCATGGTCTTCAGATCGGCCAGTAAGCTCATGTGCTTAGACATGTCCGTGGCCAGTACCTGTTAAGGGGGAACATTGAGCAAGATTTGTTAGCATATGAATCATTGCTTTGGAAATGAAGAAGGAAGGAAGGAAGCAAGCAAGGAAGGAAGGAAAAACCTCACCAGGTCGATGACCATCTTTCGGAGTGACTGCTTTTGTTTCTTAGTGAGGTTTTGGAAGATGTCACAGTTCTCCTCCTGTAGAAGTTTAAAGCCCACGGCTAAGTGATGGTTCTCCAAAACCGACTCGTCATTATACATGAGCGCTAACTCGGAGTCTGTAAGAAATGAGCAAATACTCAATTAGTCCATGTGTCACCGGGAAATTCACACTGGTAGTAGGTTGGGATTTAATAACACCAGTGGTGGAATGTAACGAAGTACAAATACTTCGTTACTTTACTTAAGTACATTTTTCACGTATCTTTACTTTACTTAAGTACAATAAATAGTGCATACTTTTTACTTTTACTTCGTTACATTTTGCAGCAATTATTATACTTTCTACTCCACTACATTTCTACAACTTCTGTTACATTTTCGTTACATTTTCTGATCAGTTTTTCCCCTGCCAAAACGTAATCTGACCGTCCGTTCGTTGCACATTTGTCTCACCAGTGACGTTTGGTTGCCATAGATACAGTATATCAACCCGGTCACACTAAATGCGTCTCACACGCAGTGTGTTTATCATGCAACTCATACGCGAAAATTTGTTTTTACGTGCATAGGAAACACACCGTGTGTAATATATGTTTGGTTTGGTTAGGATTATGGCAAGCCAAGAGGTTCAGAATTACACCATAAATTAATCTCGTTTACTGCCAAACATAGTTATTAACATATAGTAAGGATAAGCATGATATTGCCTAATTGCAAGCTTGTTTCAGAAATGGTGACATTTTTTTTCCATCATTATTGAACATCATTATAGGAGTAGGCTATTAGGTTCAATGAGTTAGAATTAAATGTTTTATTAATCATTAGAAAATAGACATTAAGATAATAAATTGTTATGCAAGTACTTTTACTTTTAATACTTAAAGTACATTTAAAATAAAGTACTTTTTACTTTTTACTTAAGTATGGTTGTCATTGTGTTACTTCTACTTTTACTAAAGTAAATATTTATCTGGGTATTTGTACTTTTACTTAAGTACTGAGATTCAGTACTTCCTCCACCACTGAATAACACTCACTTGTATTGATGAGGAACTGGTTTGAAACACCAGGGTGGTCCACATCATGAATGGCTGCCGCAAAAATGGCTGCCAGGATCTCAAGATCGGTGAAGACAGCCTATTTAGGACAGATTGAAAATGGTGAGATACATGAAGTCTTTTGAGGAAATAAATATTAAAACTATGCATATAAAGAAAAAGCGTTCTTACATCTAGTGCAGGTGTGGACAGCAGAGTGTGAGTTGACTGGGCCACATCAGCAGCGTGAAGGCTGTTATGATAGGCCACATCTTGGTGGTAGTGATCCTCAAGGGTCATCATATACATCACAAATGTATCTGCTGGGATCTTGAACGTCTTGAGCAAGTCTCGTTCCTGTTACAGAGAGATGCAATATTATTACAATTCTGGCCATTATTCCATTTTGGTTGCAAAAAGTGGAAAGTCATAGGCTGGAGGAAGGACTGACCTGGAAGATGGCATACATAATGCAAGTTAGAGGCCGGTTGTTTGAATACTCTGAAACGGTAAAGATGTTCAGGCCCCATTTGTTCAGGTCTTCTAATTCCTGGAAAGGGAAGAGGCAAGGGCATGAGATCAACAGTTTTTTTTTGTGTTTTTTTTTTTACAATCAAAACCACTAAAGAGCAATTATTAGTCTTACCCTTGACAGTAAATCCTCTTTGTCGGTTTTGACGCCGAAGCGAGCGAGGCTGCTGTTGAGGATGGGCCCGTGTGACACTTTCTTCACTCCACTGATCTGAGTCATCAGCTGCTGTTTTTTCTTCTTCTCGCGGGCTTTTGCTGTAGGCGAGGGAATCTCCATATCATTCTGTTTGTCTGTAAAGAACAGGAAGAACCAAAAGATAAGCATTATTAACCATAAACACAAGTTTCTATATAAAATGTAGAAAATTAATTTCCGTTTGCTAACTTACACCCATGAAACCAAGATAGTCCCTAAATCGTTCTACACAGATCATGCACAAGTGTGTCAGATCTTGGTAGATCACATTCCAGATTACTCAAACTCTTAATTGTAGTTGTTACACAGACACATACTGCATATCTCTGCACAAAAGCCCATTGTTGGAAAACCGGTGGCCATGTATTATGTTTCCCCGAGTGACGCAAGCAGACGCCTTTGGCCCAGGTGCAGGGCCATGGCTGAATAGCTCACATCTGCACTCCTTACGTGTGCTTCTCCATATTCGCTGCCCTTGAAAGGCAGAACAGACACCCAATTCAGAGCGACTTTGCCACTTAGCTATTCAAGCGGTGACTGCCCCATCTTTTCCTTCTTTAGTTCCACTCTCCATTTTCACTGTGACAGACCTGTCAACAAACTGCAGGGGAGCCCGTGTCTGCCTCAAATGGCATCTCCAAAGGTCAACCCTCAAGAGATATCAATTGAAAAACAATGGAAGCACACGAAGGGCTTATCTCGAGGGCAAAAATGCAGTTAATAATGCCATAAACCTTCATGTTAAGGATTTTCTCATGTGGAAATGCTAATCCAAATTTTTCCCAAGAAGCCACAAGCCCTGAGTGGACAGTATTCTTATTTCCATAACCAATAACCACATATGCAGACTGTGCACACAGATCGACATTGTGTTTGGGTCAGATTTAATCTCACTATCTCTGCTAAACTCACACGTTTTGATGCAGATAGTGAAAACGCAGAAGCATAAAGAGAGCAGTCACGTGTGACACAGCACACAGATGTTTCACAGCTAACATTTAATTCCTGGAATAGGAATTCCTTTTAGTCCCAAATAATCCGGCCACAAAGTTGTACACCAATATTTTTGCAGAAAGTTCTTCATCAAATTTTAAATCTCAATACATATTACAATGCAAAAATATATATTTTTTAAATCAACATTTTAGCCTTGTCTTTGATAAGTAAATATAATCTAAACACATATTTTTTTTTAAGATTAAGAAATTATTTTTGAGGTGAAACAGGATCTCTAAGTGTTTAGATCTTGTGTAATGGGACAAATGTGTGCCTGTTCGTGTGACTATGTGTGATGCCGTCTCAGGAGCTGGATGAGTCACAGGTTCTCTTGCCTGGATGTTCCGTGCTGGGGGTTCCACCGTCAGCATTACTTTACAGCAGAATACCATCCCCCTCTATCTCTCTCTCTCCCTCCTCCAATTCTGCTCTCCTTTCCACCCTCCCCTTCCTCTTTTCCAACTGCTGCATTGGGGATCTCTCTCCTCATGCAGAAATGAAAGTCTGATGCCATCTCACAGCATTACGCAAACAAATTGAGCCTTTGGGCCATCTGATATATTAATTTAATATAGTTTTCACAAATAATACACGTATCAAACCTCTCACTTTTTCAGCCTTTATCTTAAAGTGAGACTAAACTGCAGTTCAGCTCTGGAAATGACGCAGCCCAAATTCAATCCACAATGGCGTATACACTATATAGTCAATGTTTAGCGCTGACTGCGGGTGTTTTATTGAAAGAGTGGATATGTGTGTGATTACCTAGAAAGGTGTTGGAGATGAATTCTGACACCTGATTGCCAGATCTGCTCATCTCAGAGAAGTGCGTCAGCTCCCTGTTCAACATTCTCTTGAACTGGAAAAGATAGAGAGGGAGAATCATTAGTTAATTAAAAACTCAAAAGGTTCTACATTGAGACTTTAGCAGGGCTTCATTTCCCCCAAATCCTGAAAAATATATTATAAATATTATAAAAAAAAATTACATTTAACAAAAATTAAATATATTTAAAATGTTTTAATATGGACATTAACATACAATACCACAATCGGTTATGGGGTACGCAATACTAAATTTTACCAAATAATTTATATATATATATAATTTATATATATAAATTCTAATAAATTTCATTATTCTAATTTCAAAATTCTAACGTTCATTTCATAAACATTCATGCGGCATCTTAATTTCTCTTATTTCTAAATAAAATCTCTAATACCTTATTCCAAGCATAAACAATGAAAATGCATTAAAAATGTAACAAATGTAAGAAGACCGAAGAAGGTAAATGCATTACAAGAGACAAGGTAGACACTGGTTGAGATTTCATTTGTAAATTACAATTTTCAAACTGTTTGTCAAAGTAATAAGTAATATTGTTCTTTAGCATTTTTTTCCAAATTTAATGTATGTATATATGTTCCAAAAACAACGATGTGATACCAAAAAGACGCAATGTTGGAAATAAATAAATAAACAAATGCAAATATAATTAAATAAGTCAAAAAACGGCAGCCATATCCTGCGCCACATCTAAAAAAAATTAAGCTCCATCATTAAAAAATGGATAAATCACAAAAGCGACCTATAAAGATGTGCTTTTTGACATCCAAATCAACCTATCAGCCAAAATACAACAGATTCATGTAAAAAAGAAGGATCCAAAATAGAGCTTGGGTCTAGACATTCCAGCACAGGATGCCACACAGCGAGACTTGCTGTAGGTTTTCCTCCTCAGTGTCTCCATAGACCACCAACAAACACCAAACCAAAACCAACTGCCATTAGCAAACCGGAAAACAGCTCAGTAGCCATCATACACACCTTAATGTAACCCCAGGATACAGAGAGAAGGTAATTGGCCTCAGGCATTTTGGATCGTATTTAATCTCCCGAAATCCACAACAGCGCACTCCTATACCACAAAGGAAACGAGCCAGAGAGAGGCAGACGAAAGGGATTCTTCTGGTTGCGAAAAACGAAAAATCCCCTCTTCTCTCCTCTCCTACTCTGCTTGGTATGGATTAGTAGCTGATGAGCAGACGCGAGCTGTCTTCATGACAGCTCTCGGCCGAATCGCTACAGCATTGACTCTCCATGGTTGCGGATATGAGCAGGGGGCCAACAGCGGATGGGAACACCCGTCCTGAGCTGGAGGAGGATCCAGAGAGCGACGGCCGGAGCTAGAAGCGAAGCAGAGGGTCTGAAAGTGCCAGTGAATTATGGAGGAGATGAAGGAGCAGTAAAGCAGAGGGAGGGAGGGATGAGGGGAAAAAACGCTGGGATGCTCATCTGGCTGGAGGGGGGTCTTCCTCTGCTGGATTAGTGCCGCTCTGCTGCAGCACTACGCTCACGCTCTTTCATCATCTCTCTCGGACTTTCTCTCTCGCCCCCTCCCTCTCGCGTCTCACCCCCAGTCTCGAGTCTGTCAGCCTCAGCAACACGCTCCATAGGCACATATGATTTGACATAGAGATGCCAGAAAAGAGGGGGAGCCCCACTTTGTTATGCGGGGAAATCACAAGTGTAAAAAGGCAGAACAGAAAGAGAGGGAGATTTAGGCAAGCACTTGGCTTTTTGCAAACAATTCGTCAACCTTTGTCTTTAAGGGATTCCTAATTGAGTACAACATTTAGTACCTTTTTGTACTGCAGAGGGGATGCAGGGAACATAGGGGTTTTAGATGAGTCTGGGTCCTTTCAGGCTCGGCCACTCTTATTTATTGCACTGCCATAATGCACAAGGCTTCATATGGAGCCCTGTGCTATTTTTACAGTAGAGTATGGTGGGAGAGAAGACTTGGATAATTGCCTCCCTTTGTCTTTTTTTCTGTGACATCAACTAAGCCCCCACCCCACCCCCCACCCATGCTCTCTCTATGCCTCCCCGTCTATATCCGAACACCAATTACGCCAACATCCCAACGCCATGGCAACAGTGTCATGTGACACAGGCTGCCGCTGAGGCTTCCCTCCCCCCCAAGCTTCCAAAGATGGCAGCCCAGTAATCACGAGGACACCACTGCGTCTCAATAACATCTGCCAAATCAACCCCCCGAATATCATTAAAACGGGGAGGAGGGCAGACGGACAAAATCAATGAGCATAGCGCAAATGAGCAAAGTCCATTAATAGGGAAAACCCTCCAAATGGACAATCTTAAAAGTGTCCACTAAAAAAACACTAAAGCCAGCAGTCCAGACCAAGTCTTTCAATCACACTCGCCTGTGACGGATAAAATGGTGCATTTCACAACCAACACAAAGTGGATACCCAAATACACTTGCAAACAATTTTCCCCAATAGTAAATTTCACAAATAATTACAAAGAAAACATGAAAAACTGAAGTAGAAAGACTATTTGCAGCAGAGACTGTTTCTGCTGATTAACATTTGAGGAGCTAAAAGGATTCATGCAATGATTTTGGATTATCCATGTGAAATGTGTGCGTCAGTGTTTATGCGCCTTCATGAGAAAAAGAGAGTGGGAGGGAGACAGGGAGAAAGAGAAAGATGGAAAATAGAGGAGAATCTCTGCATTATGCTGCAGTGGGGGTTCCTCAGCAGTGCGCGAGATGTCTAGTCAGAGCTGTAAACAACTCTGACATATCATAGACCGTGCCTTCTGCGGCTCACCTTTCTTCTTATCATCCGTATCAATAAATCAATGCAAGTGGCTCTTTCTAAGCTCTGTGAGAAACATGGATGTATGGGGACGGATGTGCACCGAAGAGTTAAGGGTGAATGAAGGGAATGTCATTCTCAAAGAGCTTCATTCTGTGGAAAAAGACTATTAAAAAACTTGATTAAAGCTAACCGATTCCATCAGCTAGGATTACCTGTGTAGTTTGGTTTAAAGTTTATATTAATGTATATGTGCTGAAAACAGTTCCCCCTTTTCACCATTCAATCACCTTTTGTATTCTCTCAACATTCCCTTCAGTATCTCAGTTAACATAAACTCGTACAATCTACATTATAATAAACAAAAATAATAAGCCAAATGTTGTATTAAATCATTTTGGAGTATGTGACACCACAGAACATGTCAAATTACTACCGTTTGGCATCAATTTCAGCAAATATTATCAGAATAATACTAGCTGGTAAGATTTTATTTGTGCATTTCTTCAAAATAGGACATTTAGCAATAGGATGCTATTTAATTGTCTCCACTAGTAGGCAGTATAAACCCATAGATGTTAAGTGAGATAGATTGTTTGGTCACCTCACACTTTTCGCCGGTGGCATGTTCAATCAATCTGTACTCTCATCATGACCTTGTGTCTAATGTATCAGAGTTTGATGTAGGACAGGCGAGTCAATCAATCATCAAAACACATTAAACCTTTTAGTTGTCCTCTGTCAATTGAGATACCATATCTTTCTCTATACTCAAACTATCATGTAAATGACATACACTATGTATGTACTATCATGTAAATGACACTACACTAATGTTTTGTTAACTATAGCTATCTGAATGTCTTGTGTACATCATCTAGTCATTTAGTGGGGGAAACCCCCATCAGTTTCTTGGACAGAAATTGTGGGAGTTTTTATTGCATCGAATGATGTCATTCGAGAAGCACATAATTGCAAAATCGGCAAATTCTAAACAGTGATTGATATGTGACGACGCCTGGAAGAAGATTTTGAAAGGCCGTGACGCACATCAAGATGACAAATGGGTTCTCTGGTATATTAGAACAATAACATCATGACTTCTTAAGAAACTCTTTGTGTGCTAACTATCACCGCCTAAGGATACAAGGCTGACGTTACACTTCCTCTAACCTCCTCAATATGTGTGCATGGATGCGTGTATGTGTGAAATCCACATTTCGACACAGTAAATTAATAAATAAGTTATTAAATTACAGATTTTTAGCTGATCTAGTCTCAATTATATCCACACAACGAAGAGGCTAAATCGCTTAAGATTAGCAAGGAATTTAAAGCTTTAAAATGAACAGAGATTGTTTCGGCTTGAGATGATCAGAAAAAGACAGCAAATATGAAACCATTTAAAATGAACATTTACACTGCAACAATTTTAACAACAATTCTCATTCAACTGATATTGGTACACTTAGTCAACAACCAAACCGCAGGAACAGCAGTTTGACTTGAGAGCATTAGTTCAATATTACAGGGCTCCAACTTAGATAGATCTGTGACTGTCAAACTGCTTACATGCCCACAGAATTTCATCCACAATGCCCCATATGCAACTTGTCAATCTAAGAAAACAGTGTGCAAAAAATAATGCAAAAAAAAAAAACCTTTCCAAGCATTCACCTTTCATCTATAAAGCTCAGAAAAGTTCAGAAAGCTACTTTAAGCAACAGTTATGTCCCCGAAAAGTCCACCAAGTAACACCCAACAAAAATAAACAGCACACTAATAACTTGTAAAAGCATAAAACAAAGGCTCACCTTTCCAAAAGTGTTAAGTTTTCCAATCGTTCTCTGTTCTTTCATCTCAAAGTGGCAAGCTCCCATTTTAAGTGAGTAAAGTTTTCTAAGTCCTGCTTTCTGTGAGCGTCACCCTGTCTTGAGGTTCAGCGTTTGACAGACAAGATAGTGTTACTGACTAACTTTGAGCAGTGAGCACTTACTATTCTCTAACACACACACTCCCCCTCTAACCATGGGACCGCCTCCTTTTCTCTCTCACACACACACGCACACACACACTCTAACACCATTGCAACATAGTTTAGGGTAAATACTAGTGTGCGCTGGAATCAGATACTGATATGATCTCTTGGAAGTCATAAGAGAAAGCTAGCACGGACATGCAGATCTGTGGGAAATCCTGACTTTCAAATCACAAAAAAATGGCATGCTGCACCCAAAGGAAAATCACAAAATCTTTAATGTCTCAATTGCTTTAGACTGCCATGGGATTATAGAGAGGAAATCGAAACTTTTAAGTATCCTGCCTCTTCTCCAGAGGACTTTATTAATTTCACACATCTCTTCTAGCCCTATAGGTGAAATCTCAATATTTTGAATAAGCTGCAATCCTAAGTCTGTAAGGTGCAATATTAAGTCTACAATCAAATAACCAAAAGATTAAATGTTATATATTTATATAAAAAAAATATATATGTGTGTGATTAATGACATTATATTAATACAATTATTCTTATTATATTATATTATATTATATTAAGATTTAATATCAATTCAATATCATATTTCTCATCAAACAATTCTAATAATGTCATAGCTCTATATTCCCATTGAAACAATTGTCTCAACAATTCTTTCTCATTTAATTTCTCTATAGGAACTTTATGAGAAAAAATAAATGGTACAGAGCAACAACAAAGCTATAAAATACATCTTTGAGACGGATTAAGTAATAAAGATATAATTAATCATATAATATAATGAAGAAATAATGACCCTTTGATATAATTTGAACTACCAAAATAGTCCAAAAAGAATCAGAACTTTTCAATTTGAATTATACTCTATTTGAGAATAGCTGAAGCACATGCAGCTAAAGTTGAATGCACATCTGATGGCACAGATTTCCAAAAGGGTAGCAAAAGGTCAGACGTCTCTGTACAACTCTGATGACTATCATTATGTTATTTCCACAAACTCATACAGAAGCTCCCAGAAAATAAGAGATAAACTCCCAGATCTTGAGCCTATCATGATACGGTCACAGGCTTTGTGAATGTCCTCTCTTCTTTCCAATACGTTGTGGCAATACTGCGTTCACCTGCATGCACTGCATAAAATAATCAGTAGTTTTGTCGTTTTCCAGTAAATATATATACATCCTTAGATTGATAAATTAACTTTATTATTAAAGAGAAAGCCTTTGTTCTTTTAAATATTGACTGTTCTTTAATTAATTTTAATACACTTTATAATCTTATTGAATTAGTAATCTTTTTTTATTGGTTCAAGAATAAATCTAACAAAATTTTGAGAGCTTTAGGCAAAAATAAATGAATAAATAAATAAGCAGATAGAGTAAGAATAATAAAATTAAAGAAACAAAAAATTGTTTACGGATGATTAGATACTTCTAATGGAAAACAGGCCAAAAATACTGATAACGAAAATTATTAGCAGTGCGAATTCTGGGTCTTCCCGAAATCCGTCCCTTTCCTGAACATATATCTGTATGACTGAGCCTCTGAGAGTGTGCGCAGGAGTAAGCGTGTATTCATCCCTATTGTCTGCAGTAAAAGTCCCTGTGTTGCAGTGTATGCCTGTTTGACGTCAACAGAAGGAGAAACAAACAGGGAGAGCAGCCTTGCCCTGCCATACAGCACTCACTCCCATTGTAGTCTGGACCCAGCTTAGAGCTTAGGAAGGAGACAGGAAACCTGAGTCACAGCTGCAGGACACACACATGCACACACACACACACTGTGGAGATATGCAGAGTATTGCATGAGCGGACAGTGACAGTAATTTGAAAACAACACACAATGATGAAAGGACAAAACAGATGAAAAACAATTCAGGTTGAAACATGCGTATTTGTGTCTGTAACTCTTACAGAGATTGTGACATATTTGTGTTTCAAATTTAATTATATTGTTTATCATAATGCTCTGAATATAGCTTGAATAAAGTGTAAAATACTGTACGAAGAAAAAATTGATACCCCAATAAAACATTTAACTTTCCTAACTTCCTTGTTATAAATTGGCACACACGCTGTCAATCAAATCACAGTAACCCACAGAAAACAGCAGTCAGAATTTTTAAACCAAGCTAACTGGCACAAGAAGTGACTCTCAATAGTCCTATTCACAAAGCGGCCGTTGAGGCATGAAAGAATCAGAAAGTTCTTTACAGTGCAAGACTTTCTAAAACTTCCAGAGGACCTCTTCAAGTGATGTGCTGCACCTTCTCACCTTGTTGGAGGCCATGTCGCTGACAGAGCGGTACGTCTGGATGGTTTCCAGCTGATCCAGACACCAGTCCAGCTCCTCCATGGTCTCCACAGCCAGCTTCTGGTACGACTCGTCTGGACAGAGACACACAGAAACGGGGGCACCGTGAAAATCCTGCTGCACGGCCATTCGAGCACAGCCCGCCAGACAATCCTTCATCCTGGGCTTGCACGCACACACACACAAACACTCCCAAGACTGTTTGAGAGAGTGAGAGTAGGTTCTTCTGAGAGCTAGCAGTGAGAGATCCCCCCCCTCCTGCTCGTTCCTCCTCATTGGCCTGGTGCTTGTGGCTAGGTGATACTGCCTCTTTGGCTGCCTGCCCCTTCCTCTCACCCCATCCTGCCTCTCTCTGTGTGCCACTCTCACTCATGTCTGAGAGTTGGCTGTGGTGGGATGATACAGCCTGTTGGCTCTGTGCTTTCTCATTATATTAACCCATTTGGGATCTCACACACTCTCTCTCTCATGCGGCGGCATTGCTCGCTGTATAAACTTGAACCTACACACACACTTCCTTGTTGTGAAAAACTCTTTTTATCTCGTAAAAAGGGATGTTTGTGTAAAAATGACATTTGAGACATAAATATTCTGATGTGATTTTGCTGGCCATGTACAATTAGGCAACATAAAAAAAATTGTTTTGGCAATTAAGGTTCAATTGAGTATCTAAAGAACTTAATAAACCGTAATGTTTTTATTACCTTAGAATAAGACCTTTATATCTACATAAGCGTGGGCACCCCCTTCTATGAAGTTTGACATGTTGTGATGTCATGTTTCTACCGTAGCCGACAGCGAACAAACGTCACTAGCTTGAAAGAGAAGCCGCAGAAAGCTAGAAGCTAGCCATAGACACCGTGAGTACACTGTAAAAAAAAATAAAAAACATTTTTTCTTTTGTCAAATCAACTTAGATAATTTATGTAGTTCAGATAACACAATATTTTGAGTTTCTGGTGATTAAATTAATCTCCTTCATTGTATTAACTCATTTTTTTTTCCATTTCAATGAACTTAAAATTAAGGCAACCAGGTTACTATTTTTTTTTTAACTTAAACCAACAATTTTTTGTTGACTTTCCCCTATATTATTATATTATATTATATTATATTGGTTATGTTAGTTATGTTATTAGTGCATACAGTATTAATGAAAAAAGAGAATTATTTGTCTTTGTGTTCATTTAGTTAAAACGTTGGAAATGATGCCTATATTTTTACAGCATTTTGGTGTCTATATTAAACATTTTCAATCTCACTGGCGTACAAAAACGTATAAATATAATGACATATAAAATAACGACCCAGATTAAAATGGCTATACTGTCCATTCCAACCTCAAAACCATCACGTTTTATCATGCGCTTATATCAATGTCAAGATGTACGTAAATGGGACTGCATCATTCCATGCACATCACAGAAATGCATGAAGCGTATAGGCGTGAGCTGTGTGTGTGGGTCTGGTTGAAGCATAGATATGTTTACAGTAGAGGGGAGTTTGGTGAATCAGTGCCTTGTGGCTTTGGGACACAGACGAACCCTTGTGTTCCTCTGACTTTGCTGTGGTGGGTCTCCTAGTTGCAGAACAACACAGCAGCAGAACTTTAGCAGAGCCCTGTCGAATGACGCCACTTCTCTCTAACCTCCACACACTCAAAGCCACACACACATATTTGCTCCGTGAACACCGGGAGAAAAAGCTCTTTGATGTGGATCATTCATTTTCACTTGTTTTTTTTTCTTTTTTTTTTTTTTGGAGCATGTGGAGGGGTATACTTGCACACTACAACACCGAGGCTAAGCCGAAAAGCTGGAAGGTGGATTTTTTTAACAATATTTACATTTGTACAGTTTTATACCAAAAAGTGAGCAGCTAAGTATAACCACATTTTAATATTGCTAAAGAAAATGTGAATAGTGCTTGCCCATGAAAAAACACAGCCATAATTCTAGGGTGTGCACGTGTACCAGGCCAATGCTATGCGGTTGCTGGGGTGTTCTAAGTGGTTTGTAGTGCATTGGTGTCTGGTTGCTAGGGTGTTCTGGGTGGTCGCTAGGTGGTTGCTTACTGAACCAAATGAAAAGACCACCCACAAGTCTTTTCTTGGTGTTTTAAGTTTAAAATTTCAGTTTTAGCTTTAGGGAATATTTACATGAAAATACTTGGATCAGTTTAAACAAATTGCCATCTAAACAATTATTTAATTATGTTCCATATAAAAATACAAAAGATAAACAAAATCAGCTATAAATAATGCTGTAAGATCAAATGGAATGATAGATGATAGATGGATAGATGGATAGATAGAGCAATGGAACGATAGATGTTTGTTTTTGTCTGTATTCCAAATGTAATGCGATATTCAACTGCAATCGCTAATTTTCTTGGACTGGGCAAATGTCTATTGTCCATTTATGTGTGAGCTGATTGTTTGTTCTTTACTGTTATTGTGAAGAATCCTCGAGCTTGGGAAAAGCTCATGACATATGGTCAGTCATGCAGCAGTTGCCTACATACCATGAGGTCATGCAATAATAGAAAAATGGGGATATAACCCTGCAGTGTCATTTACTAAAAAATATGGACACCTAAGAGCTAAGAGATCCTTCCCTCAAGAAAAGTAGTCATGTGACTTCACAATGAGCTGGTGACTCACTTTATGTATTTTTATGTGGTCACAAAAATGTGTTTGCATACATGTCATACATACTTATCATACTTTTATATTGTCATTGTTCTCTATTACTATAAACAGTCCATCAAGTCCATAAGACCATATAGGGTGTCTCATTTGTAGGTTTTAAAAGGATGCTCAAGAGCGCCCCCCTTATGGCCACTATGCACCCACATTGAAGTGGACCTTGAAGCAAGGGGCCAAGCAGCAATGTGTGGGATTGTGAAGGCTGAAAGAGCCAATGAGTTTTGATAAGTTGGTAAAGTTGGTAATTGTAACACTTTACAATAAGATTTCATTTTGTTAAAATTAGTTAACTATCGGTACATTCGCTGACATGAACCAACAACGAACAATACTTCTACAGCATTTATTAATATTATTTAAATATCAACCTCAGCATTTACTAACACATTTTTAAAAATCAAAAGTTGTATCTGTTACAGTAACATTAATTAATGCACTGAACGACACCATGAACATTTTTATCAACATTTGCAAAGGTTAATAAATGCTGTAAAAATGTCAACTAATGCATAATGTTAACAAATGAGACCTTATTGTAAAATGTTGCAATTGTTTTCATCAGCTAATTATCATTCTGATAATTCCCGTCAAAAATAACACATCTTTGTGTGAACGACTTGACTGCATCACTTAAGGGCAAGTGTAGGTGTGGTGTTATAAGAAAAGGTATTAGCGCATGCCAAGTATTTGTGTTTTGCAAATTTGCATGCATGTCATTTGAGGTTACCTCAGATCAGAAATATCAAGTCTTTTAGTCTATGAGGGTATTTATGTCATGACTGAGCGCTGTGCGTATGTGTTTGAGCCATCGGATGTGGTGTGTGTGGTAACAGCCATATCGCTGTCTTCCTGATGTGTGTGTGAATTAGCTTGTAAGCATGTGCTTACATTGTGTCATTTTTCCTTTCCCTCTCATTCTCGTCATACATGCCCCTCCTGAATTAATGCCAAGTGTCTCAATGCTTAGTCAAGCAGTGGAAGGATAAACTAGAATTTCCAATAAAGAGGAAGCATGAAGAGATGACGTCAGATCAAATCTCAATGGACCTATAAGATAGCACTTCCTCTGTTACTGATTGTAAGAGGGGGGAGAGAGAGACAGAGAGAGAGAGAGAGAGAGAGAGAGAGAGAGAGAGAGAGAGAGAGAGAGAGAGAGAGAGAGAGAGAGAGAGAGAGAGAGAGAGAGAGAGAGAAGAAAGAGTTGGGGAAATTCTGGAAAAGCTTGTTTATAGCCAAAGGACATTGTGAAACAGATGGGTTTCTCTCTGTGGACAGAGAATACTTGATAAAGCATTAAATTAGAGGAAAAATCTATGAGATCATTTAAATGTAATTCACATTAAGCAATTATGTAGCTATTTGGGATTGGAAACCAATAGAATATTTTTTATTTATAAAAACTGACAATTAACTTATTTAAAATTACTAATCAGCCATGACTAATGACTAATTTCTTTGAAAGAAAAAAAAAATAATAATAATAATAAAAAATACTAATCAGAACCAAAATGCTGTTGTTTTTTTTTCCTATTCTGAACTATGGTCTGTGGAACATTTCAAAGAGACAAAAACAAACAAACTGTCTATACTTTGTTAATGTTTCATTTTGCTTCTGAAAGATTGGTCAGAAATTATGAGACTAATATTTTACTCTATGACAGCCACACAAATAAAAACAAACATACAATAAAGAATTACTGAAAATAAAAAAATGAAATAAGCATTAATATCTTCTTCCATTCATATATATATATATATACAGTATATATACGGTTTAAGAATAGCTTGCCTAGTATACTGCAAAAAATAGCATAAAACTATTGTTAATACATTTCACAAACAGCAACACACTGAAGTACATGTGATATTTTGAAGTAGAAAAACAATATAGTATTTTCTTGTTTCATTTAATTTACAAAAAAAAAAAAAAAAAAAAAAAAAAAAACAGTGTATCTTTCAATGGCTAGGCAGAAGGAATATTAATTGCCAAACGAATTACGGTATTAAAACAAATCGGAATTCAATTGAAAATGCTTGTCTATTACTTTAAAGGCACTCTGTTTAACTCTTCAACCTTTATAATATATTACCAAAACATATTGAGATGGTACATGGACTTACAATATAGGTTGAATGACACGTCTGCCGTAGCCTGAAGGTGTCTGTATCGCTTTTACTAGCACTTTGTAACTTCGGGTTTCGGATAGGAACCCGAGTACAAAAAGAACTACAAAATTCGACCGCTTTACGGCATACGTCACTTCCCCCACCACCCACAACTTCCTCAGATTCTGACGTTAGTGCTCAACTCGCGTTTGATTGCCGTCTATATGTTTTCGTCATGGCCGAAAAACAGCTACAAAAGAA